CTAAAATATGGAAAGTTAAGATAGAAATCTTCTCTTTCTCTTCAAGCATTAAATCCATGATACCTATTTCAAGAAACACAAATATGATAAATAAATAATATTTTCGATTAATGCCAAATTATTTTCTCTTACAATCTCCCCCTTTGGCATATAGATCGAAAACCCGTTTCTTGAAACAAAACCTGCAAAAGACAAGTCAAGCTCGCAACCGGTGTGGATGAACGAACATAGGTCATCAAACTATAAACTATCAAACCATAGAGCATAAGAAAAAAAAATCAGAGTATAGCAAGTCAAATATCATAGCAAGATGGCAAGACTCGAAAATGAACTATCAGAGCAAAATAATCAAAGAAAGAACACAAAATCAGAGCCTATGAAAGTACGTGATCAGTGTTAAGGCTCAAGGTATAAGTACTAATCAGAGCAAACAATACTAATCATAGCAAACCTAGAAATAATCAGAACTCGCATGAATCTTCATAATTGTACTGTCCACAGACTTCTCCAATCAATCAGAACTTGTTTTTCCATCCTTTTGCATATTACTCCCCCTGTTTCCGATCTAAATGCCAAAGCTTCAGCAGTTGTTGCTCCCGAACTTGACTCTAGACCAAGAATAAGAGATGTAGGTACATCCAAATTCGAGGACAGAAAAGGTATAAAATAAGAGAAGTCGTAAAGAAAGAAATTCTGGTTGCAAGAGAGACAATGAAATGGATAGTCGGACAAGAAAAAGATATGGTTAAAGTCATGTGAAGAACAAAAAAAAAGAGATGGTTCCAATTCATAAACACACTTCACATTCAAGACATGAAACATCATTAAACAAGGAAATAAAATCAAGGATTAGACAAATAATCAAGAAAATGTACCCAAAATAATTTTGTGCATGGATTCTTTTTCATTCAAACCTTATAGGAAATTATGCAAGAATGCCTAAAAATGAATTTCACAAAAAAATAAAAAATCAAACACACAAAACCACAATGTTCGCACACGCAAGTGACCGAAATAATCCAATAATTCGAAAAAATATTTCCAAGCAATCCTCATTACTGTGGACACTAAATAATATAAGCGAATGAACAAGATAAAATGCAACATCATATATCTCCCAAAGACTTCTACACCACGTTTCTCTTAGCAATAACTGGAGTATTCTATCCAGAAATCAGCCCCAATACTTTGTGATATAGTCATCCCATTTAATGAACTTCCGCACCCCGTTTCACTTACTAACAATAGCTATACGCCGAAGTCAAGCCCATTACTTTGGAGCGCGGTTAGCCAACACAATATTTTTAGCCTACTCACGGCACTTTCAGATTTTTTTTCTTTTCTTTTTTTTTTAATGAAGTGACCAACCTTATGCAACAGATGAAATTACATCACTCATGAGAGCAATGACTGCAAGTAGCTTTCACACCTCACGCATATTCTAAGCACGTAACTCATTTCACAGGTGATAACAAGTAAAATACCTCATGTGATAGTTGTCTGCTGCTCATTTTGTGAGAGTAGCTCTTTCTCGCAGAATTAAATGGTCATTGTGCCGCATAAATAAAAGAAAACTTAGTCCAATCAAACAAACATCAA